AACTTCTAAGAAAACTTCGCTTATATGGAAGTAGATTTGGAATCAGCATTTTAAACTATATGTGTCAGTATAAATCATTTTCGAAGCCTCCTTATAAGAACTAAAACCTTATACCGTTTTAAACACATTCCCTGGAATCTTATATGAAAAACGAGTGCAATTGCGTACTTTGTTTGAATCTGTATTAAAATTAAATTTCTGGTCCAATGTTCCTCTTTCTCGAATTTTTTATTTTCTTTAAGACAAGAATTTGTTAGACAGGAACTCCTACTCTAATCCTGAACTCGTCACAGAACTCACGGGTTTCACGTGTATCATCAATGATCCAACGAGGATCCATTGCAGGTACAACATGAACAGTGTCGAGCTGGTCCTTATTGCCGCTTGTACCGCCCTACTATTCTCCTTCGCTCGCTGTTCTTCTGTTAGCGACCAGCAAAGTAAGTTTGAGGTTTGCCTTGGAGTATTAGGGCAGTAGGTTAAGTTAGACTAAAATTATCACGGCTTCTGCAGGGTTAGTTGAAGCCAGCCCAGAAGAATTCGAGCGGGAACGAGAAATCTTCCCGAACTTCAGGCGGGCACTCATGGAAGCAGGTAGGGAATTTCTTGTTTGTTGAATACAATTATTCATGACAGCACCTTATATCAGCACCACATCGACAAATATTCGAGGTAGAAAATTTTGCCAAAGGCTCAATTAAAGATAAACGCAGACAGTGGAACAGAAGATCAGCGGATTCTTCAGTAGTCGACTAGGAAATATATCAGTTACTTTGAACAATTAGGAGACTGCTGGAAGCGTTGTGAAAACCAAAACTGCTATTTCTTAACATATCTGCGAGATGCTGGCATTTTGAGAATCAGAAATTTCTATCACCAATCTCCACTAAGCTGCTTCTCTGTTTTTTTTTTCGCATCATACTTGCACTATCGACAAAGCAATGTATATTTTGGCTGTCGAAAAAACCGCGATTGTCAAATTGCAGCCAACGTTATTGTAAAACGTAAGTATTGAAAGTGGTTTGCTCAAACATACACAGTGGGTACATAGAGATCGATACAGGCAAATAGTATTTGTAGATTGCAACTGATTATAGTAATCAAGTTAGGAACACAACAGACTACTTAGGATTTCCTCCCTCCTTCTTTGTT